AAGATATCTACCGAGTCGAAAAAGCGAGTCTCTCTTTTTCACGCTGCTCGGATCTTTCTAACGAACCTCGATAATCGTTTTCCATCCTGTCGATACTATCGGCATTACGATCATTGTAACGAGAAGCTCGAAACCGATATCCATCAAACAAGTTGGTTGTTGTTTTAATTGGAAGTATAGAAATCGCAGAAAAGTTCCTTATTTTATTGTGCTATGGATTATATGCACATGGAAACTTTTTCAAAAAATTTGACAATGATTTCATTTGAAAATAGGTTAATACCGATTTGGGACAGTAATTGAAATTCTCGTTACCGTTTATTCTGGTCTCGGCATTAGAATCGTGAATCAGAACGATTTCACCGAGGACAAACTACGTTTACTTTCTTTGGGGAAAGCATTTTGCTGTTTTTAGTTGTTCTTCGTTAAAACGAGGCCTTCGATCTACACAAAATAAAATTACAGAAGTATTTCTAACCTCACATTTTATTTTCGGTGAGGAATTTTTTTCTCGATAATGCGTAGGATTTTGGGGGTAAGCCTATTGACCAAAAATGATTATAATTGACTCCTGTAACCAAAAATAATTTTTTTTAGGACGATTTGAATTTTTTACGTAACGCAAAACCGGAAGGAAAACTCAATACGACGTATTTGTGCATGCGACGGTAGCGCCTTCCATTCTGAAACATTTCCCACATGTCATTGAACCGTTACGGTTCACACACGAACTGTGAGACCACAATGGGCCACGACCTTTTCTCCGTAATTCGTGCGTCGTTAACACGTGGAAAGTGTTACGAATACACGCTGTTAAATTGCTTCTACGAGTTTCGTTCGTGTTCGAAAACCGGAAATCCTTACGTTCTGCGTACCAAAATTAAGGGATTGCTAATTTCCTTCGTTTCCTCGCCCCGCGTCCGAGTATAAAAGTGAAAACATTTGCCTTTTAAAACAAGCATAAGTACGCTTCTTTATGATTCCTTTTTACGAAGTTACAGCAAAAAAGAATCTAATGATTGTTTTATGAATAAATTAAGATTATGCTGCATACTCGAATCGCATCGTATGTTCTCATAAATATTTATCTTATCTTTTACGATTCACGTAATTTATCCTGGCAATTTCTACAAATACTCGATCACGATCACACATTCGTCCATCTTGTTAAAGTCGTTCGTCTCACGCAGGCAGACGAAATTCGCAACGCGTGTAAAGTTTTTCAGGAAGCAAAGAAGAGAATTGTAGACAGAGAGAGGTTTCTAGACCGTACAGAGACGATAAAAACACGCGTTATGAAAGAAACGCACGTTACAGCAACGTGAAAACCGTTGGGGCATTATTCGATCCTTCCTCGATCTGCGTTTTAAGGTTATTTCGTCGAACAATGCGCGCCTTGTATGCGCGTTCCGTTCGTTGCGAAAAACGTTCGTTCCGAGGCTTGGAAAAATAACGTTGGAAGCCATGGAAAAAAGGAACTCGACGCATTTACCTGCTAGCAAACATAGCTAATACAAATACAGCCGCTGTATAACCTGTTTCAGGAGAGAACGTTAAGTAACTTTTACCTGGGCTTTGTTCGCCGGCCAATCGACGGCCAATCTGAACCGTGGAATTCGAGTTTCGCCGAAATATCTTCTTGGAATTCTACGGAATTCATTTTTTCGCGATGCAATTAAAAGCAACCAAATATTTAAGCAACACGATGGAAGGAGGAAGTAAATCGTTATGTTGAATTTATTCCGGTCCGCGCGTACGCATGATTAATGTTGGAAAAGTATAAACGGAAGTCTGTAATAGTGAAAAAAGAACCGAAAGGAAGAAACGAAAGCGACGTATAGTTCCTATTACGTAGGCCACGTGCATCGCGTTACTTCCGGATGTTAGAACTTTATACAGGGTGTGGCACGTCGTGAACTGTCGCCAGGATTTTTCGGGCACAATGGTTTCGAAATAAAATATTTATCTACTATTTACCGATCAAAATAGAAAGAAAACGTGTCAGGCTTCAGAGTTTTCCAGCATGCAAATCCTGTCCGATTGTTTTTTGTCTGCCGAGGACCGTGTACGATCGAAGACGTTCAAGAACGAATTCTCCGACAGAGGAGCTATTTTTACGAGGTGTCGCATATACAATACCCCGGATAGTCGTGACTCATGCCCTAACTCTGAGACGATGAATCGCGGACAGGTCAATCACGACCCATTATCCTACTTTTTCTTTCGTTTAACCAACTCTCAGTTCCGTCTGCCATTTTCGTTACGGAACCATGACTTATCGTGCAACTGCATTCGTCGTTCGCACGACAAGTTTATCGCGCGCGAACGCCAATCTTTCCAGTTCTCGACGAGACTTTCCTGTCGTGGCTGTTCGACGGTTACTTGGACTTCTCAGCCACGAAACGTTTCTTCGTTTTATCGTCGTGGTCCCTAGCCGGGGTCGAATCGCGTCTATATGCATGCATATCGCTTCTACGGATCGGTTCCTCGATGAGCAGCCCGAGACTTTGTTATCTCGTTCGTGTAATTAGACACCGAAGCGCGGCTCCCGTCGGATTATTCACGGTTTAACGCTTCGAAGAAGAAATTCGGTTCTGTTTGTGCTCGATAAAAAGTACCCGTTAGCCAGCCGATGATCAATTTTTCCATACTTACTCGAGCGCAAAAAAGTGTCGGCTGCGCCTAATTTTGGGTCATTTCGAGCCGTTTGCGAGACCGCATTAACGATCCCATTTTGTGTCGTCGACCTTTTCCGTCAGCAATCGTTCGATACCTATCGATCCGTGAAGAACAAAAGGTTAATGCGCGATGGTTTATATGCGGCTCGCACGCGTCGTCTGGGTTAGGGTAACGTTTGTCACGCAAGGCGCAATGTGTGTCCACTAATGAACAAAACCAAAAATCTCAAGTCTTATGTTTTATAAATTCTTCTGCGAATAAAATGTAATTGACCAAATAAAAATAATTTTTCATTCGTCCAATGGAACCTAACAAAACCTAACCCTCGTGATTTTATATTCGACGTTGTTCGGTAATTGTCGCGTCGATAAGCACCAATTATCAAAATGAATTAATCTAACGACCGTTTAATAATCGTTTAGTTCTTGTCTTGCTAACGACTCTTGCCTAATAACAACTTAAGATTAATAGATCTTCGATCATTGCCTGGGGCTTTCGGTACACGTCGTTTAAAACTAATCGAAATAATTTATTCTTGAGAACTTGGTTTAAATACTTGAAAGCGTAATGTGATGCTTTAATGCTCGAGGTTTTTGGTAATAAAGTCTCGTGGAAAGATAACCGTTGGCAGTTTCGATGGTCAAAGCTCGGCGAAAGAATCTATTTCGATGACAGAGGTGATGCGAATGAACAGTAAGTGACTTCGCCTTGAATTTTCATCGCGGCGATAATTCCACGCAGTTTGCGTCGTCGAACGACAGATTCGAATCAATTTATGGATCGCATACTCGACTACGATTGCCGTTCATGAAAGGGGTCGTTTGGTCGTTTTACGCGCTGACTTGCGTCAAGCGACCACTCGGTGGCCCAGATCACTACGAATTCTAATTATCGATGCGTATGCCTCTTCCTTAACCCTTCACCAATGGCCTCTATACGTTCTATATATAGACTAGGTCTTTCTCAGAATTCGAATACTTATGTATTTTGGTCGTACAGGACCATACAACTCGTTTCCAAACGTTAATTGACCATTCTTGCATATACAAATAAATCATTCTTTTAAAGAGCTAATTCTTTTATCTCTTCTTTGCTTCCAAAACCAATTCTTTTTAAATCGTATCGAAATTGTAGAATACAGAATTTCTAAATTATAGAATTCAGTTTTTTGTCCATTGCACGTCACCCTGTGGGTCGTGACGAACTATCACGACCGGATAAAGCAATAATTGGCGATCCGAGAGATCGTCGGGAATACCGAAGCTTGACGTCAGTCGGTAAATTTTCAAACTCCGTGAGCAGACTCGTTTAAACATTCAACTTTCGAATTTCAGACCAAAAATTGCGACGCGTTCGTCTAGATCAAGATGGCCAGGCGTTATAAAAATATTTCTTGACGATAGAAATTATTTTTGCGACTCGAAACATTTCTAACCGTATATACTGATACATCTCTCGAGGTTTTCGAGATATACGAGACCGCGTGATTTCGAATAATATTTGAACAGAGATTGAATCGCGTTATTTACCTAGCGTCTATCCATTGCCAAGGACCTTTTCGATGCAAATCTCAGCGTCTGGAATGCGTTATCTGCGTACAATAAATACCGCCATTTTTGTTTGGGATCGTAAAGAAAGAACAATTTCTGTTAAAGAGAAGCGAAGCAAGCATGCAGTGGTTGTCGCCAGAGAAAATGCAAACTACATATTTCCTAACCTAACCTAACCTTGTTAAACATACTATTACGTATCTTTGGCGGTCTATATCAAATAAATCTCGGTATATCGTCGTTAAGGTAATAGGAGGATTTCTATCTTTATGCATCTTGCAGGTATAACAGAACGATGCTCGAATTTCCTTAAAAAGATGTGGCGCGAGGTCATTGCGTGTGCTCGATACGCGAGCACACACAACACACCACTCCCGAGGATATTTATTTTCGTCGTTCGCGGTAGGCAAATTTTCGTCCGGTGGCATTCATTTCTCTTTCGTAGTATCGTTCGAGCACAATGCTAGCAATGCGTTTACACGTACTTGTTTTTCGAACAAGTGCAATAATACGTACATATTTCGAGACAATGAGTATGTACAGCATAGCGTATGAATACAATGGCTGTTGCGTGCGCAGCATCTGAATGTTTTGGAAGCTGTTGTTCGCAGACAATACACGACTCGGAACACAGGGTGTCTCGTTTCGATCGATTCGCGGTAATATCCTCGGAATTGTAACTCGATTCCCTTTTATTCTACCGATTACGAAAAATTTCCCCCGTTTTTCCACGGATGGATTTCTATTTATGTTTTATTCCGTTGTTTGCAGACCGATATCTCTATGAGTTGAATTACTCCAGAGGGCAGTTGTCGGCCGAACACGAAGCGGACGAAATCTCTTACGTGTCCATCGACGAAGATGAAGGATTCGGCAGACAACGTCGAGCCACGGACGAGAAAACGCTCGTCACGACGGATCAGGCGCCGAACGATTTACAAACGCAAGAACCGCAAGCGGCCGTAAACGCATCGAATTCACGCAGGAAAATTTCCATTTCGTACCGGACGGATTACACGAGCGAATCGTCGACCGCTATTTCATCGTCCTTGTCACCGACTGCAGTTTGGACGGAAGTACAGGTGACCTCGACGACGCAAAGTTCGGTACCGGTAGCTTCGTCCCCGACCAAGGACCCGGTAAGGATCTAGGTGACACTGAAGTCACTGAAAATAAAAGATACATGAAATTACCTTTAGCCGCACTGTTCTCATATTATTGATAATTGTTATTAAATAAATAACTTAACCTTGGTTTCTTCGCAACAGGTTCCGCTGACTGTTTGGCCGAATGCCACAATGTGGAGCAACGTCACGGATAAATCGCCGGAGACCAACAAAAGTTCACAGAAGGCGCCGGCAACTGTGACCGAATCTACGGACACGAAAGACGAGTCCGATACCACTAGCGGGGACATATCTATTAGCAAGTTCTCGGACGTAACGAATAAAACTCTGTCCCAGCATAATATCACGAAAACGGAGTACGACACGCATCAGTATTACAACAGCACGTTTATCATCAACGAGACCATCGGTAGAAAATACTGGGTGGATATAGATTCCCATCCGGATCTGAAAGTCAATCATCTGCTTAGTCAGAGCCATCGTCGGGCAGCGGTTAGTCTATCGCTTAACTACATTTACATCTCGTTTACAAATTTGATAAAAAGTTGTCTGATAAAAAAATCGTATTTTTTTCTCTCAACAGACCGTCAAGCTAAAATTCGATTTTCCTTTCTACGGGCATAAAGTTCGCAATATCACTATAGCCACGGGAGGTTTTCTCTATACAGGCGAGTACGTGCACAGTTGGCTTGCCGCCACGCAATATATTGCGCCGTTGATGGCAAATTTCGATACGCGTTTGTCGAACGATAGTTACGTCAAGTACGCCGACAATGGTGAGTCGTCATTAGTCTTCGATAATGATGTGGAACAGTGGTTCTTAACCCTTAGTGGTCGTTTGTTTCATTCACTGTTAAGAACCACTGATATAGGAAATATTTGCTTAAATAAGCGGAGATTTTTGCGTTTAATTGTAGGAACGTCATTCACGGTTGTGTGGGAGAAGGTAGTTTTGCAAGACAAACAGGATGCCGGTGCCTTTACCTTCCAGGTGACCCTACACCAAAACGGTGACATCGTTTTTGTCTATTCGGTAATCCCGTTGATGGTCGAGCTCATTGAGGATACGGCGCATCCCGTTAAAGTTGGCCTTAGCGACGCCTATATTATGGACAGAATAGTGTTCTGTAAGTATAAATGGCAATAGGACCGCGTATATATCAAACGAAGAAGATCAGAAGTATTTCTCTGTGTTCAAAAGATAGAGGTGAAATTTTATAAAATTAATAAAATTAATTATTTCTTATCCCGAAGTTGTTCGCAGGAAAACAATTTACGAGTATCATCGTGTAAATTTCAATCGGCAAGATATAAAGAATTGGACGGTGATCTACTTGAATGCGTTACCCACGTGCTTGGAGATGGACAACTGCAGGGACTGTTTGACGAAGCTGAAGGATTTCGACTGCAAATGGTGTTCAGAGTTGAATCAGTGTAGCACGGGAACGTTCAGGTCGCGGCAAGATTGGTTGTTGAAGGGTTGCGACGTCAGGAAGATAAAAGACGTCGCCAATTGCCCGCCGCCAACCACTACGTACAAGGAACACGAGGAAGAGTTCAACCATGTTTTGCACATGCATTCAGAAGAGACTGTTACTGTCAGTGAGATGAACGCCAAGCAAGAGAGACCTGAAACAATTCATTTGGAACGTTGTAAGTTTGAAGATAGAAACTACCTTAAATAAGAAAAATTAAGTCGATTGAATCTAACATGCTTTCCTATTTGATATAAATTTTATCGAACATGCAAGCCTAGCTAACAAGAACCTCGTTCACGTTACGTCAAATCGAGCATTCGCTTCAACATTTTGTTTTTTTTTTTGACATTCAGAAAACAAATTCCTCTAACACTTCGTTATGTCATCGAGCACCACGGATTTACGATTCGTTTCGTTTGTAATTTTCAGCTCGGGACAACAATATGAACATGGGAGTTTCTGGAATAATTGGAATTCTCCTGGTGGTCGGATTAGTAACAGGTCTAGTGGCCTGGGCCGCATACGCTTATCGCAATCCTCACAGTGCGTCTGGACAAATATTAATTAGGGTAAGGACCATTGACGTGAATGATCTGTTACGAAATGAACAAGGAACGAATTGATAATTACAATCTTTTTGCGTAGTATCGGCCAAGTCAATGGAGTTGGCGAAGAGGAGAAGCACGTTACACGGCAGCAACGATTCACATGTGATGGACATGTTGCAATCGAAACACGCTCAGCATTTAGTACAGAACTGTCGGACCAAACTTCCTACTAAATACGTACTGTACCAAGTCTGCAAGTTTTTACGTATGGAACAGTTTTCCTGCAATGACGCGTCGGTCGCTCCGTTAATTGTCGTACAATAATGCGTAAACAACTATTTTTTCGACGGCTACTAATTAAAAACCAACGCGCTTTAAATTTACAATCGAAGGCGTTTTAGATTATCTCGAAGAAAAACCGAGTATTTTAATACTGTACATTGTCACGAGCGTTGTAACGCTATCCCCAAAGTAATGGTAATTAAACTACTGACGACAACGGTATAGAAAGAACTTTACGAAGCAGGCTTCATCTTTCAAGTGAGTTCGATAACGTAAGTTTATTCGAAACTTAAATTTTTTACAAGGTAAACTCTATAATTTGTCCACTTGGATTATTTTCGTTGTACACGGAACGACCTAAACTATCGGGTCAGTTCGTAAGTTCGTTCATATTTTTAGTGAACTTTGTTTGTTTCCGTTCGAAACAAATACTATTTTCAATAGACATTTTCTTATATCGTCAAAAGCAACGAAGATATTTTAGGTTTCAAAATAAGTAAGTATAGACATTTTAGTTCCAACGATAAAACTAATCAGGGACAGTTTATGAGGTTCAATTTGTAAAAATTTGTAAAAAAAAAAAATTTATACCGCAGAAATTTACTATACTGTGTCCGATAGAGGTTGCCCGTGAAAATACCAAACTGATCTCCGCAACGTATAATTTCTCGTAAGATTTCCCTTAAGTCATTCTATCACCATGTTCGAGAATAACGACGAAACGTTTCCAGAGCGTATGATAACGAAAAATAAATAATGAGAGAAATGGAGACCGGTATTATTTTCTTGACTACGAAAACATTCGTGACGTTTTCCAAGTCGAAGTAACCGTGTATATCGTCGAAGAACGGGCAAAAAATCCGTAGCCTGGATATCGAGCGTTTATGTGATTTTAGTATCATGTGGTATACCTTGTTATTGTTTAAGAATTCGTTTTTTTTATCGTTATACAAACCGCATAATTGTTTAGATATATATATACATAAATCTCCGCGGCGTGAAGAAGCAATGAGTTTTAAAGAAATCAACAATTGAACGACCAAGTTCCGATCTAGCCTATCGAAACTACAGTTCAGTTGGCGCACGAAAATAAAATGTAATCAAGAAATTTTTCACGAACTTCTAAAAATTCATCACGTTGTCGTATTATCGTTATCGATTTCTTTAATTTTTATTATCAGTAGTACATTCCAGAATATGCAATTCCATCAAACGTAGAATATCGAATGCAAAAAATTAATGCGTCTATGAACTGTAGTTTCATCTTTTAAATTTTAAGCAAATTTATACAATACATATATATTTTACGAAAAGATTTTTAAAAATACAAGCACCTTAAACTGTAACATGCATGAGAAAACAACAATGAGATACTCATATCAATCGATAAAACATTAGGTCACCAGTGTATATAGTAGTACATTAAAGCAATATAATTTTTATGTAATTGTAAGTGTAATTAATGTCTGAAAAGGTGCCTTTGATCGACTTTTTGATCCATTTATTGGCGATAGAATATATATCGATGAAATATTTTCTACGAATCACGATGAATTTTAATTGTATAAAAATGTTCGATTCGAAACGATAGCACGATTGTCTGTCTGTTGGAATCAACATGAGTTACTATTTAAACGATTTTTAGAATAACATGTATTTGAGGCAGCGAATTTTTAAAACGATTTTTTAATTGTATTTAAAATCACTATGTCCGTACGACGAAATTACCTTGGGAGAAGGAAACAATTATAAACATCACGGTTAATTTTTCTTACATTACTGTGTACGTTTTAACTCATAGTTTGTGATAATAAATATTACAATTATTACAGTAAATGTATCTTATTTTTAAGTGTTATTTCTCCATCAAGTTACGTTGTAAAATTACTTTTTCCTTTGATGGGGTACAGGGGCGTAATTACAGGGTAATTACTTTATCTACAAGGGACAACAATACTAGATTAAAATTGAATTATTAATGACTTGTCTTTTAATGTAATAAACAATATTTAAAAGGGATTAATTCGTCTGCCTTCAGAAACCATAGAGTCATCGATGTATCGATACATCGTTGCAGTTACGAACCATGAACTGCAACTGTGTGCATAAACATAACCTATAAACTCCCATAAGTAAAATGGCAGTCTTTGCGAAAGTTTTACAACTTTCGAAAAGTATAAATAATGTGACAAAGTTATTAACAAATTCGTCTTTATGTTCGAATGTAAACCCCATCTTGAATCCAACATGTATTCGACGGTTCGTTGTTTATTTTTATTTACTATTCTTACAAATTTAACGTGTATAGCGGTCGTGTATAATTTTTGTATACTCGTTTGTACCGTAAAAATGAACTAACTATAATATCAATCTTTTCAGAGTATCTACCTCCCAATGTGCATTCATTCATACTACATCTAAACGAAATGATTTAATGGAATTTTTTGATGATAAAAAGAATTGGGGAAGGAAGGAAGTAAAGGTAGGACGTTCTTGGCTAAAAGATGAATTAAGATTAAAGAGCAATGAAGATCTTCATAAGTTATGGTAAATAACTTATAAAATACATTACATCCATCGCTGTAAGATAATATAAGAGTAACTATACTTTAAATATTTAGGTTTGTGTTGCTGAAAGAACACAATATGCTTCTAACAATGGAAGAAGCTTATAAACAGGAATATGAATACTTTCCCAATCCTGAAAGAATTGATAAAGTGTTAGACAGCATGTCAAATTTGGAGTCTGTGGTTCGTGAAAGAAATCAGGCATATTACAATCTTGAAACTGGAACATGCGGGGAACGTCCTGCAAGAATGGCGTACAATGCTATTGGTACAATATCACATATGTTTAGCATTTATTCTATATGCACAAAAGCTCTGTTGTAAAAACCATGTTTGTTTTATAGGTATGCGTTATTTCTATAAAATGCGGCAATATCATATACCAAAGTTTATGAATAAAAAGTGGCACAAAAAACACGTGTTCGGTTATGGTGGACATGCCGTTTCCAAATTTTTACGATTCTACAGAGAGAAACTTTGGAACGTGAAACGTAGAGCACAAAAGTTCGTATCGTTACTATTCTATCAAGAAATACTCTTTAACATTATATCACTTCTGTCTGTTATTGTAAAGTGTCTATGAAAATTTTTTAAATTTCAGCCGAGATCGTAATCGTGTGGCGGCTCTGATGCGAAGGTTCCCGAATCTCGATCTTGGAGCTGCGAAAAAACAGTATCCAGGGGCAAATATAAGTAAATTGAAGATGTCAAGAAACGCAGTTTCACATTTGCAACCTGAATAAATGCAGTTTTTCATTAGATAATATATGAAGAAGCATTTTCCATACTGCATAGGATGAATCTTGAAGGTAATTGGAAATTTTACACTTAGAAAAATTGCCTCAAATCGGCACGAATTAAGGGGTCGTTGTATTTTTAAATGCTTACAGATACTTGATCAACAAAATTTTGATATGTGGATGTATCTTATGTAAATAAAAATCAAATTTACCGATATGTTGTGTTATAACGGGAAAGAACTTGACAAGTTATTATTTTTATTCTGTTGACTAGTAATAATTTTATTTCTATTTGTTTTCTCATTAACTTGAAGGTCATGTACGACGGCATTAACATTGTGCAAAAATCTCATGGCCATAATATTTAAGAATCATGCTTACACTGAGCATGTAAATAGTGTAACATCATCTTGTCTCGTTAGACGCGCTATAAACTAACACAGGAAACTGATTATGATTTCGATTTTCGTTACCGCGTAACATATACAAAGTCATTAATTTAACACTTTATTGTTTAAATGCTTTATCACAATTATTTGTGACTACATGAAACGATGCATGTAGTATTAAGATTTTATTCACATTAATTTACAGGCTGCATCCATTCATGTAGTTTTGGTAACGTAAAATATGATCTTAAAAAAAGAAAGTATACAAAATCGCACATTCAAATTAATTCGCACTTTAGAAGAAACTTCTTTGGCGCATAAAGCTATTACTATTTAAAGTAAAGTATAGTTCGTATAATGCGATGAAACTATCCTTAAAATCGATATGGTATAATTACCTTTGATAATCAATTATTTCGATACCTGTACAATTGAAAACAAAACAATATAGATAGCTCTAACTAAGCTTACGATTTTTAAGCAATCGAACACGCGTACATAGAAGGAGAATATATTAAAACTAAAATTAGAAAGCTGTGTTGCTATAATTACCGTTATTATCAATATTACTATTAGGAATGTGTAATTATACGTCATACAATTACTCCAAAAGCAATGTATAGTATAGAGTATTCTTAGTTTCCGAAGCTGCTCTATGCCTTACTGCCATTTCATTAGCATCTGTTTTAAGAATGATTCCGATATCAATGGCGCATTTTCAAAATGCGTATTAGTTCTTACAATATATGTGAATATATAGACATCCATGTAACTGACACAATGATCTTATGCGCTCACTGTTATATTACAATCCTGCATCATTGTTAATGATAGAGATTATCAAGGTGACTTATACTATTAAAAAGATATTGCACCGTTTTATTGAATTAGCACATCAATATTATGTATCGCTAAATATCTATACTTGTATGATTTCATCGCTTTTTCATCGAGCGATGAAACATAATGCATCCGTCTCGAGGGTGGTTAAATGTTCGTTATGTCGATGCTTAGCGAGTTTCTTTAAATTGTTGCGGTCAATTTGATCGTATCGCCGTATATTTCGTATATTTATGTTTGCGAATTGAGAATTTCCGATTATTTATATTCTTTGAGTTTCTCGTATCGAGTACAACCATGCTCACTATTGTCTATCGGTACACCTTAATATTTAGTCTGTTTCCGAGGGTAACAAGTATCGCCATGCAAGCTCTAGCTCTTTACCAGCATCCAAGCAACGTCGGTGAAACTTGTCTTCTGGTGGAAGTGTTACCATAGGAAATTCCCCCTTGAAAGAACATAATTTAGTTAGAACGGTCTAACGCCGTATACAATAGAACCCTTATCTTTAAAAATACACTGCATCCCTCGCATCTGGAAAAAAAAACTGTACGTCTGAAACGATTACTCTGTATACAAGCGTCGTACCATTCTCGCATTCGCCCACAACGTTTCCAAAATCTCTCTGAAGGAGCACAATTCAGTATAGTTTGTGAAGTATATGACCCAATCGCCGCTGCTCTCGTGCACCTCTCGGCATGCGAATTCCTTCGAATTAGCAAAACAAAAGAAGAAAGTGACATTAATCGGGCCCGCGTGACACATTAGTTTATCCAACTCACCAGTATGCACCAAGACTGTTGGGTCAAAGGTACTCTGAAGGCCGTGAGGTCTTCTACAGAGGCACAGGAAAGGGTTTGTCCCAGCTGTTTACCAGGAAACACTTCCTTCATGGTAACCAAGTGTCTGGTAGTCGTGATAAGGCTACACGGCAAAGGTTCCCTAATCTCAGAAGCGTCGAACAGTCCGGACGCGCTCTGAACAAAGCTTTGCAACCATTCGGAAGCAACGTACTCGTCTGGAGCGGCAAATTGAAAAGCTTTGTTCGGCTTTAGAATTATTTCGAAAGTGTGAGGACGATGGGAATTGGGGATTCTTCGACACCCTTGGCAAAGACCACCCTTTAATGGAATCGCACGTTTGGGAAGTCGTTGATTTGCATCCGTGAACATATAGACAACACCACCCTTTAAAACAAAATATCCTGCTTCCCATGGATTAGTCGGAGCATTGGGATAAAGCTGTTGATAGGTGTGTGGTCTGTACATAAGGTCACCCTCCTTGGTCGGCCCACACGGTGTGCTAGGAGGCGACATATGCTCGTCCTCCATATATATGAGATTGTAATGTTCGATCTTTTCATCCTAGAATTTTAAATTGTTATTAATTCGTTTGACATTAGTAGCATCGAATGGTCCCAAGTCGCTCTCGCGTTTACGTACAGGATGTACGGCCGTATCGCAAAGAATCGAGTGTCTCAAAATATGCATGTCCTCGTATCTCAATTCTTTGACTGCTGGAAGCCTTGGTTTGGTCGGAGATCGTCTCATCGCCATTTCCAGATGAGCGATCAACTCTGAAGTAGTCTGAGAACTTCCCGTGGAAAATAAATGTTGCATCTCGCAATCCGCATTGGATAATAATATTGTTTGTGCATTTGGTCCGATCTACAAAGTAGTTTTCATCAAGATTTTATAAAGAATGTCATTATATAAGCGAAACATACCATAATGACGTCTAATTCGTTATAAGGTATAACAAATTGATTGCTATAAGACTGATCCAGTTTCGAGCCTGTCAGGTATAACGTCTTGTCCGTTAACAAAGCTATCATCGGTTTGCTCTCTCCGTTCGTCATGTACGAACTCCTAACTTTATACACTTTGTATAATTCCTCGGTTTTGTCCCTGTATATGTGTTTCTTGAAGAGCTCTCGCAATTTCAAGCTGACTCTCTCGCCGCTGAATTGTTGCTTTTCCGCTTCCACGTTCTCCCGTATCTCCCGGTCGAGATTGTCGTTGAAATCTTTGAACGAATCGTAGCTCGTCTTCACGCCCTTGATGTACAATGGATTTGATTTTTGTGACTTTTTGCTCTTTTTAATTTCAAACTTCCGCTCCGTGATGGACTTTAAGAATCTGCTCAACAACGAAGTTTTCGATGATGGCGCCTGCCTCAATGGCGGCGGTGCCAACAATTTGTTGCTACTTTCTCCGGTCAATATCGACGTCATATTACGCTTTTTCGATGGCGATGCCAGGTGCTTACTATTCCTACGCTCGTCCACATCCGACGTGGTGACACTATCTACATCCGACCAATCGCTGGAACTATTATACTTTTTCGAATTAGAAGGACAAGGCATATCGACTTTTGACGGGGGATCTTCGACGATATTCCCACAAGCTTTCTCGACGATATATGCCTCCTGCGCCTCGTTCTCCTCCAATTCAATCTCCATTTTTGGTCTCAACGATTTACCAGGGTCCTCTTGACCCTCCGGCACACCGCGTTCCGAAATCGACAAACCGCAAGCGCATTTGCAATTGCTCTGGCACAACGACTGCTGACAGATCCTCGGCGAAGTTTTCTTCTCGCTGTCGCTGTCGAAAATGCTCGACGACGAGGAGTACGAATAATAATCCGAGTGCGCGTTTCTGGTGTTGACGACCTTCTGAACATACGGTGAATCACCGTGGCCGCACCAGCTGTACCTTCCCTTTTGAGCGTCTTTCTTCTGGACCGAATTAGGTGTCAAGAAACTCATCGAGAAATCGGTGAAGTTCTCGTCATCGTCCAGCTTCATGGTTTTTAAAATATCCTCGTGAAAACTAACGCGCTTCTTACTCTCACCGCGTTTCTTTTTACGTTGTCTACGTTGCACTAATGCCTCCGAGCTGGACGATGACAAAATACTAGTGTCCGTCATATTGATGGTATTTAGAATACCGTACGGTGCTTCCATGTTCTCGCAATCCGATATGGTCATACTGAGCTCCAAAAGATTCGTGTCGTTATTAATCACGTACGAATTGCGGGGATCGAGGTTTCTCTTAAAACTATAACTGCCGTCGCTGTAGTAGCTGCTTCTTTTATTAAATTCCTTGACGCCGTTGTCAAGCTTGTTGTCCATTTTGTCCAACTTCGAATCGTCCAGACTTTTGCTATAAAAATCATAATCCTTTAAAGTGTCCAGACTGGAACAATTAATCTCGTTATCGTCGAGCTTTCTAGTTAAGTTCTGGTTCGCTATGTCGCTTTTCGTCACCGATGCGGTTTGAAATTTTGGTACCATTCCGGGCGACTGCGTGGGCGTCTTTCCATCTTCGCTGGAATCGCTGGAACTCAAGTTTTTATTGTCCTCCATGCGATTGTTCAAGATTGTCTTGTACCTATTGTTCCGATACTTTGGAATTTCTTCGAGATTGAAATCTTCCTAGAAAATGTAAATCAACTTGTTACTTGTACAAAATTGACGTTACTTGCGCGATACAGATTTATTTATGATTAAATATATACCTCCTTATAGCTACTGGCATCGGTTTCATTCGCAAGATCCATATCACTGTCGAATGCAACGCCACTGTCACCGGGAGAAGCTAAACTCGAGGATACGCTGGATGATCTAAGGTGTAACGATAATATAGTTCCGGAAGGATTTACGCTCATAGGCCTTTGGGGCATATAGTTGCAAGTGTCCAGATACGTTACATCCTAAATAACGATATAATTAATTCTATTTTTAGTTTACTACTTTAATTATTATATTAACCCTTTGCACCCCTTGAGCTCCTTTATCAAGTCCCACTCAACATTTTTTCAAGTCCAAACCAAAGGAGATATCGTACACTTGATAGTTACAAAATGCAACAACAGTGTAAATAAAACAGATATTTTGACAGTTAATTTTAAATAAAACACTTAAAAGCATTGGGAGCTGCTGGTAACAAAATTGAAATATAATTCAGAGTGCAAAGGGTTAAAGTATTTCTCTTATATAAATAAATCACAACCGTTTGATAAATACAGAAACCACAAATTGCTTTCGAAAGATTTTCCATGAACAAACAAGGTGATATAAAATTACTGAAAAATAGGTGTACATCAGTGATAACTTATTGCCCCTTAAATTCATGAAAACAGATTCATCTTGACAAACAAACTGCTGCTAAGCGCGGTACGTTATTTATTTGCGAGATAATTGTAACCAGGGGGTGATACTGATATCAACACCGAGGAAATAAAAACTGCAAAACACGTTATTGTAAACTGCCGACGACCACACGTTGATATCGTCACTGGCTTTTACCGTGGCTCTAAAATGAAAAAGGAAGAAAATACGCTCTTGTGTGATACGGATATCGGTGCTTTCCAAACAGACTTTGTCAGATACATGCTTGAGAAATAATAATTACGACTAGCAATACACGTAGAATACATCTATTACAAAATAAATTAATTATTACAGATACTGGAAAAATTCATGTTTTTTTAATTAGTTTCATAATGTAACAGTAATTTTACCTACCAATTGCAATGTGAAGGACACATTTTCTAAACCAGCAAGGAGATTAACTAGCTGATTGGTCTTGTCTGCATCCCGAACGAGCGCATGAGGAAAGTACTGTTTTTTCAATGTTTTTGTGTCTCTTAACAAACAAGCTAAATAACTTTCAAAGCTGCCTTCGCTAAGAGTATGGTAAAGCCATGCCCGGCCTGTAAAATATATAACGATATTTAACGCTATTATCTTGTCCGGAAAGTTTGCTGTCTCTTTTATTTGATAAATATTCCAACGTACCTTTTCCAATGGAAGTCAACACACTTTGCAAAGCGTGAATTACAACGACGGTATCATGATGACTAAGTTCACGAGCCGTTCCCCAATATCCATGTCGTTCTACGCGTAATCCATGACGTAAGGCTCGATCTAACCAATAAACCAACCAAGAATCTCCGTCCAAGACTACCGTGCCATACAAACTCTGAACATAAACCTGACGTAAACAGATAAAATGACAGGTTAGAAAAAATGTTTGTTACTGATATCTTTAACATTTTAACATTTATTGGCTTGTGCAAATATAAGAAAAAGAAAAGAATAAGACCCAACAAAACCTGAATAAGAAATAAATTACCACAACACGAAACAATCACAATACTCACACATATCTAACTATTCTGCGTCTTACTATTATCGTAGCGAAGATCGCACAATGGAACAAATCACAACACTGATCAGACAGTCTAAGTGCAGCGTATTTTAACGCTTAATCTCACGAGAAAAAGACGGGGGCAGTTTGGAAAACGACGAACAAGTTCATCGATCCGTGTGGATCCCAATGAGCAGTGAACGAAATGTCACAGTTGAGTGACATACGAATAAACGAGCGAAGAAGAAAGAAAAAAAACCCTCACGTCGTTGCGAGCCACGATATGGCTCGTACCGTAAGAGAACTGCGTTCGAATAAAGAAAAATAGAGACGACGATAAGAGCACATGTATATACTTCGCGTTCAACAAGATAGGAGATAATGAAATGCGTCAAACCGTGTTGAACGGCTGACGCGTTAAACGCGCGTGTGCGTGAAATTTCGATTTCGCGTACGTCCGCATGGTTAAATATTTTCGAAGAGAATCGCTTCTAGAGTTCGCCGTGGCTGGGAAAGAAAGACGAACGAATATCTGTCGAAACGAAAGGGCGATCGCGATCGAAGGGAATTTAGGAAGGGGTGTAACTATGCGATGTATGCAGATTTAAATCCGCGTTACGAAGGTGCATGCAGACGTATGTATATAAATGACGTATGGCCTTGATACGTCATCCCTGTATGTACGGGAGCAGCCACTCACCAATTTGACAGCTTTCGTTAGTTCCTGAAGTATTCTTCCCTTGGACAGTACCTTGTCGGTACAAAGGTCCATGTCTTCCTGACTCGGCATTTCAGTCTCGAACTTTACATGGTTTTTACTGCGTAATAAGACGAATATTCAGAGAAAAGACGTGAAAAGTGCGAGGACAGGGAAGACCGTACGCGGCTCTGTCGCGGCGTTGGTGAAGTTGCACTGACACAATCGCATCGCCGGGTGGACTCATTGATTTTAGCTACGCGCAAGTCGCCCGCCAATATAAAATTCCACTTATTAACCGGCCTTCTCTTCGCCTTTTTCTTTATCAGATCTACCGTTGCGTTTGTCGGACCCTTATACTAATTTGCTCGGTCCATTCGCCGGTAGAGAATTTTCTCGTTTTCTCTATCATCCAGAGAAGAAAAAATTAAACAAAATCTTATACATTGAATAGCTACTAAATTGCATTAAAAAATTATACCACAAATGTTTTATAATGCTGTCGCGCAAAATATTACTCATCGATTTGATTATATGTATAAAACGTGCTATCAAGCTTTCGAGGCACTTATTTAATAATTTTATATTTAAATAGAGGATTTTATTTAATAGAATTTGAAATGTGTAAAAGATTCCTTATGTTTATATTAATAAAGAATAAAAATTATAGTATGTAGTGTATTTGCCATGCTGTTTATTTACATTCTCCTCTACCTTTCGATTAATTCCTTAATTTTTATAAAATCTAAAGTTAAAAACATTATTCGAATTTAATTAAGTCCTTCAACCACTTCTCTATACATTATTTCATGTAATTAATAAGTTATAAACGAATTACTGGAAGCGATATTTATTTCAATATTGCCCAAAAATGTGCAAAGAAACGGTATCGCCATCTAATATCAGGAATTGTAACTGCTAAGATGCATATATATATACGAGCTCACGTACATGAATGATCTATCATTGTGTTAAAATCTGCAAAGAAACAGTATCGCCATCTAATATCAGTGTTTCGAAGTCAAAAAATCGTCCCAGGATCACAGAATGTTAGTGGAGGTATCCGGAGTACAGCTACCCCCACTCCTCCTACTCCTAATACGCAGTACCTTGATTATTCATTAATAACTCCTTTTCTGGGAATAAAATATGAACTTTTAGAATCGAAGAATGTAGTAGAGACCCTTGGCTAGATTCAAGGATAGTTTTTAGAACGATTCCGCCAGTAATTAACGCGTTATTAACGAATATCGGAAGTCGGGATATTTACGGCTGTATCACCGCCTGCTTTAATCGATGAATTATCAATTTTTCAACTATAATACCCATATTCTGGCTATTAAGGAACCAAGTAGACATCTCTGGCAACATTCAAGGACCGATTTTGTAACGCTCCATGCTCTAATTAATTAGTTATTAGCGATAAATGTCTAAGATGACGCGTTAAAATGTGAAAAACCATGTGCCGACTTCTGATATTCGTTAATAACTATTTAATGAGGCATAGCATGATTCTAAAAACTATCCTTGAATCAAGCCAAGGGTTTATACTATATTCTTCAACTCTAAAAGTTCATAATTTGTTCCCAGGAAAGGCGTAATTAGTTAATTAACGAGCGACAATTCATTACGAAGCCGAGAAGCCCATAGTACCCTGTTTTCGCCACTAGTTGGCGCCACCATCCAACAATCGATAGTTCTCCGCATGTCTTGAATTATTGCTCGTTAATTTACTAATTACGCCTTTCCCGGGAACAAATTATGAACTTTTAGGGTTTAAGAATATAGTGTAGACCCTTGGCAACATTCAGGGATAGTTTTTAGAACCATGCTATGCCTCATTAAATAGTTATTAACGAATATCGGAGGTCGGGTCACGGTTTCTAACCTTTTCACGCGTCACCTTCGGGATCTATCGCTAATAACTAATTAATTAGAGCATGGAGCGCTACAAAATCGGTCCTTGAATGTTGCCAGGGATGTCTACTTTGTTCCCTAATAGCAAAACTATGGGTATTATAGTTGAAAAATTGATAAATCATCGATTAAAGCAGACGATGATACAGCCGTAAATGACCCGACTTCCGATATTCGTTAATAACGTCTTAATTACTGGCGGAATCGTTCTAAAAACTATCCTTGAATCTAGCCAAGGGTCTATACTACATTCTTCGATTCTAATAGTTCATATTTTAATCCCAGGAAAGGAGTAATTAACGAATAATCAAGGTAGTGCGTGTCAGGAGTAGGAGGAGTGGGGGTAGCTGTACTCCGGATACCTCCACTAACATTCTGTGATCCTGGGACGATTTTTTGACTTCGAAACACTGATATTAGATGGCGATACTGTTTCTTTGCAGATTTTCACACAACTATAGGTCATTCACGTACGTGAGCTCGTATATATATATGCACTTTAGCAGTTCGAATTCCTGATATTAGATGGCGATACCATTTCTTTGCACATTTTTGCGCAATATTGAAATAATAATCGCTTCCAGTAATTGTTTATAACTTATTAATTACATTGAATAATGTATAGAGAAATGATTGATTAACTTAATTAAATTCGAATAATGTGTTTAACTATAGAATTGATGAAAATTAAGGAATTAATTGGGAAAGGTAGAGGAGAATGTAAATAAGTAGCATGGAAAATATGGATTATGGATTTTTTATTAGGAATAAGGAATGTTTTACACATTTCAAATTCTATTAAATAAAATCATGGCTTGAAATCGTCACTGACTCCATTTACAAATTGCTATTATACAAAATATGCAGCCAATTCCGCCATCTTATTTTTCGAAGGGCGAGGTTTACCTCGAGTACGACCCTTTATATGACTATGACTACGAGTCACCACCGGTTTCGAGGCGACAGCGCGATGTTTCTCTACGAGAGCCACGAAAGCTGCTGTGCAAAATACACAGCCAGTCATCTCTGTTGCTTTGTTGGGAAGTTTACTCTTTTCCTGCGATCACAAAAACATTTTTATTTCTAGTATAAGATACTTTCCCATAACGTAACAATGAAAATTTACTGCTTCACCTGTTTATATTCAACAGTTACTAATTGCGCCCCACAGTCGCACACTTCAGTGTCGACTACTACCTTGTGAGCATTCTTGAACAGATTTATTATAACGTCGCAACGATTGCAGCCAAGTTTCCATTTCGGTGCGGCTGAAGGATCGAGTACAAGTATTCCCGATTCACATTCAAGGCAACTCGATATACCGTTTGAGTTCAAACCGTGAGGACAGGTTGGATGCGTGCACGAATTGCAACCACTCATTCCTTTCTTCATATCTCTGGAATTATTCATTATGAAAGTATTCATCTAGATCTTGATCGATTAAAAATATTAAAAAAATACAAAATAATCACCTGAATGGCAGATTGTTGTAGCAATACGGACAAAACGTGAAACTTTTCCCTCGTGCTCCCGTAGACCACGAGAGCAATTCGAAATCATCCAATGGACACTTTAGCTCTTTGTAAATTTTGATGTTGCCGTTTTTGGGTAGCTTGTAAGTTTCGTTGCAATGCGCGCAATGCATCCTCGACGGTTTCGTTTGTATGTACTTCATATAACGTCGACATTTTCCACACCTGAATACCAAAGCAATAAATATTAAAAACGTATATAATACGCGTTAGATTGATGCTTCTACCTAGAGTGTGCTTTCCCCGACGCAGAAAGAGGAGAAAACGAAACCTCGAACAACTGGTCCATAGCTTCTATGTTCTCGACGAAGTAATGAAACTTTTGTTTGAAGATTTCTACTGTGTGCTGCAACACGGCGTGGTAATCTGCTCGTCCAAGAGCTATGAGATTCAACTGCTCCTCCACTGCAGATCTCATCGTGGGTAAAACCAGCTCAGGATCTATCTGATGTTGATAAAAAATTAACGTGTAATTGTTACTTTCACACGTATAATAAACGCATACCTTTTGATAACCATGGACCAACACAATTCCTAGCGAAGTTGGGACTAATTTCCTACCAGCTGCAACGTTCACATAATTTCGCGTGCATATATTATTTATATGCACCGGGATAGAAGCGTCTGTTCCAATACCATGCTTCTCCATAAGAGATATCAACTCAGCCTCTGTCAAGTAATCTGGGGGTTGTGTGTAACATTCGAGCAGCTTGGTCTGTTAAAAATTGTACAAATAAGTAGTCAAATATCAATGTCTTCGTACAGAAAACAATCAAAACCAACTTTATCTGTTAACAACCTCTTGTATATTCACTCTTTCACCGGGTGTGAATCTAGGCAAAATGTCGTTGCTCCCAAGTGCTTGCCAAGTAAGAATACTGGTGTATCCAGGGTCCACCAAACTGTGTCCATTCGCAGTGAAAGTTTCCATTCCTATTTCAAATTTGACCGTAGTGCTTAAGTATTTACAATCTTGAGCCAACTGCAAGGTTTAAAGTATTTCATTTTCTTTTATTCCCAATTCAAAGAAGTTCGCAACGTACTAAACTAGCTATATTTACTGTAGCGATAAAGTGTCGTGTAATGTAATCGTACAATCTCCAGGAATCGCCATCGAGCTCATTTCGCGTGGCATGTTTCATCGGAGTAATAGGAGGATGGTCTCCAACGTTATGTCCTTTCTTTGGTCTATTGATACCAGTTGCTAATATTTTACGAACAGATTCTCCCCAATCAGCGCTATTTTGCTGTTGCTTTAATGCTGCACTGAATGTAAATATTTGCGTCAGCTTAAATTAAGAAAAATGTAAAAGTTCGCTAGTATCCATCAAGTTTTGTTTAACCTACGATAAATCAAAATTCTCCGGGTACATTGATGTTTCGGTTCGAGGATAACTTATATATCCTTGAGTATAGAGACGTTCTGCAATTTGCATAGCGTGATGAGGACCCATTCCTAAACCTGAACTAGCTACCCTCATCAATTCTACGGTGTTCAGTGCTATAGGACGCGTCTTTGTTTTTTCTGTCTTCTCCTCGCTTATGACTCTGTATCATTTAATACAATAGTAATACTTTATCATTACATCGACGATCGTAATATTTTTATATCGTTTAATACTTGCATTGCTTGGTCATACTCTTTGAGATGGCTTAGAAACATGTTCGCTACTTCCTTGTCAAAAGATCGTACACGGCCCCAATTTAAAACAATATTTTGACCATCGGAAGATTCAATCGTGACCTTGAACGTATTTCAATTTATTTCCTTCTTTATACTGTATATTTTAGTTATTTCACTGTACCTGTAGGACCCAATAGGCGTCTGGCTTGAACGTTTGAATTTCATCGTGCCTTTGGACACAAAAACCAAGCGTCGGTGTTTGGCACGGACCATAAGAAATCAGAGTTACATCTAGATCCCCATATTTTCCCTAATGTAAAAAGTACAGACAAATGTTTTATAACAATGAATCGATTTTGTTATTTTTTAATGGTTCTACCTGAAAAAATTTCGTTTGAAACCTCGTGAAGGCGCAACCAATTCGTAAATCTAACTCTTGTCGTGCGTCTACACTTTTCGCTTCATTTTCGTTGGGCTTAACCAAATTTGCCAATGCAGACTTGATATCCTTATCCGTGATAGCGGAAAATCGTGCTCTCCAAATGTCCTGCAACGGATACAAAATTTATATGGCTCCAGTAGTCATACGGATAATCACCAGCTTTCTATTTTACTTCAAAGTACTTACATTTGGACTCAATCTTTTAGTCATGCCTTGCTGTACCGCGTGTATAACTTCGAAACAAATGTTTTCACCCTCCTTGTCACAATCCAGCCATAATATCAAATAATCGCAATGAGCCCCTTCTTTAGCAAGGAAATAAGGGATTTTTAATTTAGGTACTCCTTCCTTCTTTTCGGTCGGACACGAAAATAACTCTGCCTTGAACATTACGATTACTTTCACGACGATTTCATACACGATTACTTAAAACTTTGTAGTTATATTAATACGAGCGAAAGATAGTATAACTAAAAGTAACTTTCTCTTACAGGATCGACTTTGTCCCAGTTATTATATTTTCCTATGAAATCCAGCGTCATAACATGACCACAGACAGAGGTCATTTTATAATTCACTGTTTCCGACCTAAATTGACCTATCCATTCGTGCACCGAAGAAGATCCGTTTAATCCTAAAATTTAGATATTATATCACTCTTGTGTTCAATGCTGACTTTTAACATTCAACATTGAAGCCAAAAAGCGTAAAAAATTATACGAAAATAAGGTAAAGAACGATATATTATGCGTACAAAGTTAATGTTAAATTTGACAAGAACCTAACCCACCTTTTCGGGAAGTACATAGACCATTACTTAAAATATTGGCAAGGGATGCTGCTAGAGACGGCTTTTCAGCCACCATCAAAGCTGTTTTCATTTTTACAAAATTTTGTTAACTATATATCTATCTTTACAATAACTTACAACTTCTACTACACGTGCGTGTCAACACAACTCTCAAAACCCTTACAGTCTAAGCACACACGTTCTCTACACATAGGTACACCGCAGATTTTTCTTATTTTTAAATTCTTATCGATTTTTGTCCATTCCTATCCATTTTTATTGATTTCGATCGATTCCTGTCCATTCCCGTCCGAACTTGTCTGAACCTGTTCGATCCTGTCTATTCCTGTTTATTCCTGTCTATTCCTGTTTATTCCTGTTTATTCCTGTTTATTCATGCCTGTATCTATTTCCTGTATCACCGTACACTTTATCCTTATTAACAATAACTACGATTAATATGACAGACGATATTACCGGACAGCGGATCAGTGCCCAGACTATTTTTTGACATCCTACGAACTGAAGTTGCTAACAATACGCACAAAGTTTATAATTCTATGCACGAAGGCACGAACAGCTTCGCAGAGTATCAACACTTTTTTATAAAAGAATTAAGTATTGTCGATCTTGCTCGTTCTGTACCGTCCGTTTTTATTATATTATAAACGTCAAAGAAGGTAAACGAATTTATCAATATGTCTATCGTAACGGTTGCGAAAAAATTTCGTAAGATTTTTTATAAATATTTTCAATCCAATGAATTACATTTTTAATTATTAATATTTCTAAGAAAAGTAGAGTATTTCACAGGAAATAACGCTGTGGAAGTTATTATTAAGAACATGATTGTTTAGGCGTAAATAATGTTTGGAATTTTTAACACGATCGTAACGTAGGTAATTTAGCTGTTTCTTTTCAATTTAGAGCGATTAAAGGTTACGTGGGTAATTCGTTGAAATGAATTTACAATTCAATGTTTTGTTTATTTTAAGAAAGCTCATCATATGCGGTGTATAGCTATATGTATCTAGCGGTACGTATAATCTTTTCGGTGTTGTGACTCATCGACTTGTCAGCCTCAAATAATTGCACAGTATACGATATTAAAACTGTAACCTAACAAAAGAATCGATTTCGTAATTCAAGATAGTATTTTGATCGTTTAAAGGTAATTGATTCACGTTAAAAGGCATATAAAGACACATATTTATTCGCCATAATAAAGTGAAAATTTGAAACTTTTATTTGTCAATGACAATTATATCTTGTTATATTCGTTCGTAATTTCTTCGATTTCAAGAATCTATCTTTTATAGTTTCTTTTGCAATAATTTACTTACATTAATTACAGTAAGTAGATACTCTCGATCGCAACCATGGATTGGTTATTTGGAAAGCGTATTACTCCAGAGGAAATGCTCAGGAAGAATCAGAGGGCTTTAAACAAAGCAATGAGAGATCTTGACACAGAAAAGATGAGAATGGAACAGCAGGAAAAGAAAATTATTGCAGAGATAAAGAAACTTGCCAAGGCCGGGCAAATGGTAATATATTTAATTACTTTAGATTTATTATTTATCGTCAATTATTATCAATCATTTTATAGGATGCTGTGAAAATTATGGCTAAAGATCTTGTGAGAACTAGGCGTTACGTAAAGAAGTTCTTATTAATGAAAGCAAACATCCAAGCGGTTTCTCTAAAAATTTTAACGTTACGTTCGCAAAATACAATGGCACAGGCAATGAAAGGGGTCACAAGAGCAATGCAGAATATGAACAAGTAAGAATATTATAAGAAACTTGCAACTTATGTATTGTTACTTGATTTTGATTCTGTTATATGTTATACATAAATGATACTCATTTTATAGACAATTGAATCTTCCTCAAATACAAAAAATATTGCAAGAGTTTGAGAAACAATCAGAGATAATGGACATGAAAGAAGAAATTATGAATGACGCGATAGATGATGCAATGGAGGATGAGGAAGACGAAGAAGAAAGGTAATTACTGCAATTGGCTTAAAATAATATAATCTTAATTGGCTTAAAGTAATTTCAATCGCATTTATTTTGTTCGTTTAGCGACGCAATTGTGTCACAAGTTCTAGATGAACTAGGTCTACAATTGACAGATCAGCTGTCTGGTCTACCACAGGCATCAGGTTCTCTGAACGTAACAGGTTCGAAACAACCGGTTGCAACTACTGCGGGAAATGATGATGGGGGAAATCTAGTGGATGCAGATGCCGATCTGCAAGCTAGACTTGAAAATTTACGACGCGAATAAACGTGCATATAGTTGAAAAAAGTGTAAAGTATGTAAAAAAAAAAAGTATGCACCAATATTATAAGCACATTTGATTTTATACGCTCCGCGGCTTTAGTCAGAGGTACATATACTATAATATAGCATTTGCACCTCGATTTATCCATTTAGATGTACAATTTGTAACATAATGACATTTGCGATTCCTTGGGAATTCATATTAACGAAGGAAGGCATCTTTGTTGCCTCGAGTATTTATTAACCATTATGTTACTGTTTTCTCTTTTCTTTTTTATATAAAAATGAAGCAACTTTACAACAGGAAGAGTTAATGTATCTTAGCGTCCCTGAATGTTTTTTTGTACAAGGGAATTTGTAAAAACTACCGAATTACGTGCCGAGCATATTGTAATAAATACGTATTGTATTTTGATAAATTACATGTACATAATTTTACTTGAAAACTTTCTAGCTTACGTACATGTACATATACTTTTATTTTTTTATACAAACCGTTTCTGCATGAAAAAAGTAGGAATACGAACGCGATAAAATATAAGTTTACTTACTGTTTTTACCGGAACATAATCTTTCAGTGCCTCGCGTAACATTTGCTTTCGGCAAATACAAAATTACGAAGGAAAATTTTCAAATTCAGCCGTGTTAATTGATATTAATAATATAAATTGCTTATTTATACAAGCATTGTGGAACTGTCGAGTATTCTAAAATATATTGATTCAGCCAATAAAATATTAAACACAGAATTTTCTTTTAGTTCATTTCTTAACCCTTTCCTGATATGTACCCTATTATGTTCAACTCACCTTCACGTTACAATTAAATGTTTTATAAAAAAAGCAAATAGATAAAGGAATTACGCAAAGAATGAAACGAATTATTAAGGCGGGAAAAACAGTTGCCGATCGATCGCGAAATCGATTTTTCTTCTATAAAACAAAGAAGGTCGTCAGAAGGTGTAGCAATCAATAATTCCGTGAGAAATATGAAATATTATCTCTATTAAACAAAATGTACATATACATAATAGTGCGCAGTGGATAATCATTCCTAATATCCTGACCGTGAAATATAAGTATAAAATAGAAGTCTGGTCTGGTTTCAAATATGGCCTAGTAGACGTTCAAAATGAATACGAACGGTTTTAATCAATCGATCGAGGTGCACCGAATTGATAATTCGGTATCGTTATGGAGAGTTTCAATAAACGTATCTGTGCACAGGACCGCTATTACGATATTATCGAGAGAGATATAAGAAAAGTGAGACAAAAGTAACGAAAAAGAGGAAAAGGAAAAATTTTGTTGTTTTATACGATAATACTAAAGCGGGAGGAACGAAGAAAACATCAGTGGCACGCGAACCTCTTTAAGTAACGGATATATTTTTTTCTAGGAATCGTTTATTATGATCTGGCAAACCAGGCTACGACAAACCGCTATTCTATCTTAATTATATTTAGAGAGTATCGATGAAGTTACTGTTAAAAGTGCTGGTTCACCGTTATCATTCTTTTATTCTTTTCCCTCCCTTTACCGATAAGCTGGTCTCGTATTGTTTTCTACTCACTGTAATTACGATCGCGTGCACTTTCGTACTTTCTCCGTTCCTCGAATGGTAAATCCTATAGAAATACGATGTAGTTTACAAAACTGTGATGGGACCTTCTGTCAATCACATGTATATATATTGTCAATATCTTTTAAACATCTCAGAGGTATCGCCCGAGCACAACGTACCCCAAGCTAGAATCGTTATATCGAGGAGATATCTTGTAGCACCCTCTCGTCGTGTTTACTTAGAATTAAACGCGTTCGAAAAAGATTCGCACGTATTCGATACTCTGTTAGTCACACGAAGTATTGTAATGTATTTGGGGACCAGTAATCATCGTTAATAGTATAGATGGTAGTAGCGAGTACTACGTAAAATAAAGTATTTCCAATTTTATAATATCGGGGATGGATTCCTCTCGCTTACAGCGAAACAAACTTTACAATGCTAGTTGATCAACGACCGTGAACTGTTGGCGGGAAAAAACTATTCTCCCACGCGATATACGTTGAATCATGCAGAAGGATAAAGAATCGTTTTTAGTTTTCTTTCGTTTGTATTTTTGACCATTTGTTCATTCCCAAATTGTTCACGCAACGAATTTATTACCCTGATATTTGTGCAGTCGAACGGAAATTAACGGTCACGAAGAAACGTAACGGAAATACCTAATCTGCTTCGAGTACGTACGGGGGATACAACTGTGTGTCCTTCGATAGTACCTAAAATCGCTGATGTCTCACAAATAGCACCATTTCTATGGCATTTTTTCCTCTCCGAATACAATTTCAGATGCGTGTTTATCAGAATCGTTCTGGAAACTTTGACCAAGTGCTTCTCATCTTAACCTCAAAAAGTATTTATCGAAATATTGTCGGTTCTTACTTGGAAATGAAAAGAAAACGCAAAATATTTACACGATTTTTTACAATCAACGTTAAAAACATTTACGATCGATTCGAGAGAAATGATCTGTTACGTAGAATAAAATTTATTTCTAGTTTCAAGGTTCTCGCTCAAAGTTTGCAGAACGAAGTCGATACTCTTGTTGTAATGACGTGCGATATGCTACGATATAATAGAAAGTCGTACGCAACACTGAACCTCGTGTTATTACCGCGATAATTATATGCTTCTCGTTGGATGGAGGGGGAATAAATATGCGCGAAGGACAATTTTTTTTTTTTCTTAAATATTCGTTATATAGGTGTGGGATTATTAGACCTTATACACGGTGTGTACCTGTGCATTATGTACGCTTGTATGCATTTGTTTTTACGTGTACGTACATACTCGTAACATATATACACATGTATAAGCTGTGTGTGAGCACAGCCTTCGCTAGATGCAGCGTTTAAATCCGACAGCTTTCTTCGTATTCTCTCTTTTTTTTTTTGTTCGTTCCTTAATTTACTGCAGAATTACAAATTGAAAATCTTAAGTCGATTTACCTACAATAGGCATATACGAATTTATCTCGATCGTATTATTCGATGAAACTTAAACATTTGATCTCGTATTAAATAGGGTTTAAATAATTATATCGAGGAAGACTATACTGCCATTAGACTGCAACAATAAATTCAGAAATTAAAATTGTACAACTGTTTTTCTTCTAATTCTACGTAACGTCATCAATCGAATTGTACATTCGCACATGCCTGATCTATAATAACTACTATAATAATTTCATTACGGCGATCTTGATTCCTGTACGTATGTATTTTGCTTTTACACCCGTTTACTCGTTTCCGTGAACCGTTTGTGTATGCAAACTAACGCGGATCGTTACATATATTAATCGTATAGAATGCTCGCGTGTGATGTACTCTATATCGATTAAGAATAACAAGAAAATCAGTTTAATCATGGACGTTCGTAGAAATATGGGCGAGTAACGAATTATTAGGCTTTCGATTCGAATTACCGATCGCGTAGAACTCAGAGATTTTATCGATTGTACATTCATTCGATTGCACTGCGATGAAGCTACTGTTGATACACGTCGTGGCTTCAAGAACGATACATACTTCTTATCGTTTTAATTCGAAATACGAAACAATTAAAATAAAATTTTATAATGGAAAAGATTCAAGTCACGGTTATAATGCAATAGAACGTATTCTCAAAAGAGAGACAAAATTTGCCAATGAAAGAGCGATAGACTGCTGACGTATATACCAGAGTTAGAGAAATTTTATTCACGAGTAACGATCACGAATTTTAGATCGATCCGTAAACTAACTACTTATTTATAAATTAAAATCTATCAACGAATTTTTTAAACCGATACCCGGATGAGCAAAAGCTAATTTACGAGCGAATCGAAAATTTTTATCCGTTACTCGAGAATAAAATTCACCCAACTCTGGTATGTACCTATACATACATATATGTATACACGTATATATCTATTATATTGATTTTGCATTCTCAGTAAGATATTTACAAAAAAAGTGTAGTAAAGTTACGTTCGTTCGTAATATATGAAGTATAATATCACCGAATCCATGACATTTCTCTTTAATGCTTTTCGTACGCAAGGCGATTGTATTCCGCTGTCGCGAGAAATATGTACATTTCTCATTTTATCAATGCGCAAATAATGTCGTTGGGCCATTTCTGCATGCATGCATGAACAAGTGAGTGGGAGGAGAAGCTTGTGTCGAGAAATGATCGTTGAATATACATTTGGTTATTGTTAAATTCAGTATTACTCAATTACCGTTTCAATCCCGACCCGATCTCGTCATGGTATAAATCTGACAACTATATTCTACATAAATAAACGCTTGTGTAAATTGGTTTGATATTTGAGTCAACAATTTCGCGAACTACTACTATTATTATTATTGTTATTATTATTATTATTATTATTATATATTTTTTTTTGCTTCTTTTAACTAGATTTTTCGCAGTCAGTACCGTTTTAACGCGTATGGATATAGGAGTTCGGTCGTAACGGGACCAAGTTACTCGTAATTTAACCCTTTATTTGTCTGATGTTAATTGTTTATCGTGCAGCACCTATGGGGGTGAACATTCTTGACAATTTTCAACTAACGAGGATCGTAAAGATAGATAAAAGTTTATTCCTTAAAAAGCAAGGAATTACTTGATTTTTCTTTTCTCTAAATAAAGGGTTAATCTCATTCTGCTGTTTGTGGTATACTCTTGTCGAATGGTCCGATAGTTATTGCGATATTACAAGCGTCCTGATAATCTCAACTTTTCCACAGTCTTCGGTTCCGTCAAACTTTCGTTTGCAACGTCATTCGAGTTACGAACGTACTCCATTTTACTTTGGTCCTCTACGAATTACGTTTCGTTCGGTAATTCGGGGTCATTGTTGAGCTACCCTCGACGAAACAATCGCGAAACTGTTTAACGAAGACTTCCCTTCACGACAGTCTTTATAAACTTCCTTGATATAAATTACAGTAAACGATAAAGAAGTGGAATTTATAAATTTTTATGGAAACGATCAATCGGTCGCTAGTGTTAAACGAAACTCTCTTATTTCCCTGAACGTTCCCAGTAGTAATAACGCAATAACATCCGCTATTTTTTAACAGCAGTTTCACGACGTCTTACATTCTAATCGCGGGTCCTCGGATTTTTTTAACGAATTAACCTACCGAAGCATCGTTTATACCTGGAAATTATCTACAGTTTGCCGAACGAGAATCAATTGTTATTTACATGAACACGGTAAAAAGAAAGTTCCCATCGTTGCTGTCGCGTATTCTATCGAGAACGAGATCGTTTGATCGGTACATTCTATGATAAAGTGATCCATCGTGATATTCACTGATACTTGTCCTCTTGGCGCGGAACAGTCTACCGAAACGATTCTCAAACGTCGAACGACTGAATCAGGGCTGGAACTATTCGAATAAATTACAAGTACAGTACTGTCTCGCTCCTTGCATCGATCTGCGTTTATCTATTCGTTGAAATATTTCCTCAGGTTGTCTTATAAGATATTAACAAAGAAACATTCGCGTAGAGAAAAATTGGAGAACTGATTCCAGCCCTAAGTAACGTGTGAGCATAGTCAAACGGTTTCGTAATCGTTCTCGAACACAATACACGATGAGTTACAGCTTACGGATAGTTTATGTTTTTAAAACGCGGATGCAGCTCGAGAGACGAGGTATGAACGATGGTTATACGTGTTCAGCGATGAAAAAGATTAGGAACCACGGACCTAAACGCTTAAACTAAGGCTACGCGATGTGTCTACCTGTTCCGAGACTAGAATGGATTTCCAACCGGGTGACTCAAAGACGAACGAACAAACGAGAAACATTTTTGGTCAAGCGCTTAGACGAACAATACAAATCTCTATTACTAATAGTGTCGCTTATCGATGAATACCTTTGTTTGCCGATCTGTGCGCTTACGTCGGAAACGTTTTCATTTTTTTTTCTTTTTATTTTACATATTTACACGTCGTCGTCCCGTTTCGCTTAATCCTAAGAACCTAGTGCCTTCTCGCGCCTCGTGTTCCCGCCCCCCATTTTTTTTTCTTTTTTGTTTTTTTGTTTTTTTGTACACAGCGAATGATATTTGTTATATATTATTTGCAACTCAGCAGAATGCACCGATATATGTCGTGTACGTTTATAGATATACGATTTTACGCTAGAGATTTTAGATAGTTGCGAGACGAAACGTCGCCGGTTTATTTACGTTTAGAAGTATCATTCTGGAATTCGAACTAACGATAAGCAATTGGAATGCTATTTCTTTTTATATTCAAATAAAATGCTCAGCCAACGGTCAATAATATCTTTCCATCTCGACTGCACAATTCGGAACGGATTCAGACACGCCAAACAGTGGATAGTTTAACCCAGGGCCGTGACAAGGCAGTGGTTCTATGGGAACCACGTTATACGTAAACCGTTTCTTTTACAAGGAACAGAAATCAATTATATTTCTTGTAGTCGATTTTTATTTTGTCCGTAGGACGTTTTTAACTTTTTTGTTCAAATTATTACTCATTGAAACAAGAATAAAATATTTTATATCCAAACTTAAGGCAATAGAACCTTCGATGCTCTATTTGCTATCGATTATACTATGTGTTTCATCGCTACCCCCGAGTTAAACTGTCTAGTCACGGTCCTGTTTAAACCCATACGTATCCGTATCGATGTATTCGATCGGCGTGCACGCGTTCCAAACGTAAATGAAACCGGCCGCGCGTAATCCGAAAGGATAACGTCACGGTGCTCTCGCGCAAAGGTTCGCGAAACTGATTAACTTCCCCGATAAGTGATCCGCCTGGCGGAGTGGTCGGGCACCGAGCGCGACGCCTCGCGAGAAACCGACGCGCAGAAAGTTGTGCTCGTAACTCGGCCGCGGGCCCCGAGTCATATAGTCCAGACTTGCACCTTCTCCGCGACGATGCACCAGCTCGCGTGGTCGTAGTAGGACGAGATGATGTGCAGGTTCTCCACGTATTTGTTTATCAGTTGGTCCAGCTCGCCCTCCCTGAACACGTGATAGTACTGATGGTAGGTGATAGCTCCGCCGCCGCGGTCAGACGGTAACGACTCCTGGGAGGAGGAGGCGGTCAACGAGCCGTTGCTACCGGTGGTGGTGACCAGACAATCGGTGCTGCGTTTGCCGTTGTCGGGATACCTGGACGGTGTCTCCTCGGAGGCCGATCGTCTTTGTATCTGAAGTTTACGCTTCTCCGCGTACGATTTCGGATACTCGGCGTTGTTGGACGACAACAGCGACACCATGCTGCTGCATAGCCTACCGGTCGACTCCGCGTGGCTACCATCGCTTAGGCTGATCGTGTTGTCGATGGACTCGCCGATGTCGCTCGACTCCATCGAGTTCGCTGTCCTCAGATACGGCTGCTTCGACGGATGCTTGTCCAACGAAGCGTTCTCCCTTTCGTTCATGAACTCGCCGGTGTTCGAGACCATCACGAAGTCCATTATGTCCTCCGACGTGCTTCGATGCATCAGCGTTTTGTCCGTCTCGGTCGTGTTCACCGTGTCCAACGGTATCTTCTCGGTGTTCGCGTGGAAGCCGTTGCTGTTGTTGCTCAGCCAAGCGATCGTGTTCGACAGGTTGTTGTATTTACAAGACTTTGCGGATTTGGCCACGTTTACGTCGAACAGCGTCGCGTTACGCTTGACCAGGTCCGATCCCTTGGTCGTTGGCAACGCATCGTCCAGGATCCTCTGGTTGCACGCGTCCACTTCGATCTCCGACTTCTGACAGAACTGATCCTGCCCGGTATCCTGCATCAGGTTCTCGCTGAGCTTCTCGGTGAAGTCTATCAGATGCTTGCGACACTCCTCGCTCCAGGTGTCCTCCACTTCGGGCAGCTGGTAGCTCTCGGTGGAACTCGAGTGCTTGGTTCGGAGCTTCTTCTCGGTGGTCAGCGACGTATCGACGCTTCGTTGTTCCGTTACTTGCGACTGGTGCGATCGACCTTGAGTTTTCTGGATAGCAGTCTCCACGGCGTCCTCCAAGGAGCTGGCAACGTTCGCCGCTGCCTCCAGGAGCCTCGAAGACGGAGACGAGACGCTGTCCCCTTTGGTATCTTCTTCCTTCGAGTCTGCCACGCTACCTGACGACTCCTCGGCGGTCACGTTGCTGGTATCCGATACTTTCGACTCGGTACACTCGGACTTTGCGTTCTCCTTTTTCATGTACCTAAAAAAACAACGGTTACTAAATTGCATTTAAAAAGAGAAAGGCTATCCGACATACCTTTCATCCGAGAACACGATGATCACCGAGCCCACGGATTCAGGCGAGGACACGCCGCTGGAGTCGCTGTCCAGATCGTCCGTTTCCGGATTGAACAGCTCCAGGGATAGCAATCGTGGCAGAACGGTCTCCAGACGACCGCTGGTCGTGGTCGAGGCGCGTCTGACCAACGGGAACGACGGTTTGGTCCGCGTCGCGAAACCTGGTTTCTGCTTCAACAACTCCTTTATCTGGTTCAGTCTGGCCTTGCGACTATCCTCCTCCTTGATGGTCTCCTGGCTCGTCTCCTGGCTCTTCTCCTGCGACGTTGCGTCCAAGGTCTCCTCCGCGGTTGGTAGCAGCGGTGCAGTGTCCTCGACAGTCTTGGGCTCTTCGATGTCGATGGTCTCCGACATGGATCGATAGGCGCGTATAGCTTGCAAACTGGGCTTCTTCCCTTCCAAGGAACTATTTCTACCGCAAACCTCCGCCTCGCTGTTCCTTCTACTGGGCTGTGGTTCTGCGCTCGGCGACTGGCAACCGCCGTTCGAGGCGTCCGTTTTCTTAGCGACGATCGTCGTCTCCCCGGGCAACGGTTGCGGAGCGGTCGCGGAGGCGAAGAACGGTCTCGGGAACATGGGATTCAGGGTACGGGGAGACAGACCAGGGGGACTGGGCGGTGGCAAGGACTTGCTCGTAGCCGGGAACTGTTTGAGCAGGGGTGATATGGAAATAAGCTTGAGCCTCGCGTTGGACATGTCGGGAGGGTGTTTGACGCGCGGAGAGGGAGGGGCTGACGTGCTGCGTAACTGATAACCGGTGGGTATGGGGGGGATAATCTTCGCCAACGGCGGTGCGTCCTGTTTTGGCACGTAGATCACGGACGCGAAACTGTCCTCGGAGTCGACGCTCGTGTCGCTCTGCAGACTGCTGTCCTTGGAGGAATCGGAACCGTCCTCTCGGGACAGACGTCTCTCCACGCCCTCCGCTTCTCTCTTCAGCGTCGTCGCGGGTGGTACTTTCTCGTTGGCTTTCGTTTTCGACGCGTCGTCGTTGGCCGCGTCCGACGCCGGCGTGTCGCTGTCGCTCGACTTCCAACCTTGGAGGATCTTCACGAAACCGTTCTTCAACGACAGCCCGGAGACCTCGATGTTGGTCGTCGACTGTTTGATCTTGTTCGTAAGGCCACTTTTCAACAGCTGAAACCTTCTAGTCGCGTTCCCGGAGTAGAGGGAGTCTCTGAGGGCTTCGAACGTGTTTCCTTTGTAGATCAGATCCTCGTTCAGGGATGCCTGTTTCATTATGTTCCGTCGTACCCTCTCCTTCTCCTCCAGCCTCTCCGTGGACATCAGCTCCTCGTTCATAGAGCTCTGCTTCACGATGCTTCCTCGCTTCGAGCAGTGAGTGGGTGTTATCTGAATGATAAAGACAGGATATACGTTACACGACTTCTTTCTTTGTTCAGCTGTAATATGACATTGTACCTGATAGTCTGGAACGTCCTTAGTTAGTTCTTGAATGGCAGTGTTATCAGGATTTTCCAAACCGACGTCGTCTACCAAATGAGACTTCTGTTTGACCAGCCGTGGCTTCGAGCCACTCATCGACGACGACGTCCTGGAGTCGCCGTCCAAATTTAATTCGGACGTCAACACGGAACACAGCCCGGGTATGCTGGATCTCGACCTCACCAGGTCCAGCTGCTGAATCTCCAGGATGTCCCCGAGACTCTTCGACTTGATGCTCAACGAGTCTTGCTGCTTGGTCAGCGTCACGTTCACGTTCTCCACGCGACGCAGCTCGATGGGCAGCTCGTCCACGTCCTGGGGCTCCTCGTGCTCGTAATCCCTTCGACCTTTACCGCTGCCGCTCTGCCAACTTTCAAGAAACCAAGGCCGACCACCAGACCCACGCCTACCTCCGGCCAATTTCTGAACCAGATCGACGCGATCGTTAATACAGATTTTCACCGATAAGATCGACAAAGAATATTTCTCGTCCGCATAGGATTTGAAATTTGGCCGAGCTGGGTCCCCTTTGTCGCGGTCTGCGCCTTTAATTGCGTTACCCTACTTTTTGGCGGGAACATTGCCACGCTGGCGCCCGGAATCGATAACGATTTAGGTACGTATCGCGGGACACGTTATCGCGTCTCCGATACATGGCCAAGGAGCTCGAGAAAAAGTAATTTTGGTCCCATTGCACGCGAGTAAGTCGCGTGCGTGACATCGAAAACGCTCAAGGAAATAGGGGAAGGTTGCCATAATTGGACCACCTTCGACACTTTCTCGAATCGTCGTGTTTCTAACGAACGAATCGAAAGAAACTTTTCATATCAATTTCTCGTTCTGTCAACGTTGCTTTTGAAAAATTAGCTGACCAACGTATGAGTAACCCTGTACGCGTGCTAATTACCTGCAAAGCACGCCGTACGAAGCTGTAGCAGGTCTCGTTGGGGCTGGATAGGCTGCTGGTCGACGGCGACGGGCTGAATATCGGGTCGATCCAATAGCTCTTGCTTTTGCATTTTCGTTGGCTGTTCCTGAAGCAAGAATGCCATTATCCGTAATTATTGTAGTCACGATGGCTCCGGGAAGCTTTCGCGAACGATGGAACAAGGACACGGAGAGGCGAAACGTAATTTCGCGCGGCAATTTGCCACTAGGAACATCTACTATAAAGAACGCCTCTTTTTCCCATAAATTGCGTTTACCCGATAGCATTTATATCGATCGTTTATACGACAACGAAACATTGCTTTTATTTTTACGATCGAGTCGGGACCAGTACTTGTTGCATGCGTGAATGTTTATTAACTGAAGACTGTGTGTACCTCTTGGAAGATAAGTACTTTTGAGCGTTTTGATTCGAGTGCACGTCGCTGAGGCTCGGCGCGCCGGTACGTTTCGATCTGTTCAACGCAGAGTTCGCGCAGTACGCTTTGGGCCATGGTACCAAGACATCTTGAGACTCGAACTGAAAGCAAAATAAAGAAAAAAAGAAAAAAAAGGATTTTAGAATTACAGTAAAACCTTAATACATGTCAAGTAGTTTTTAACGACACTGACATCGTTTAAAAGTTTATCAGGGTTCGTTCGTTCGAAGCGTTTGAAAGGAAAGTTGCGTTAAATACCGTGAAAGTATTCTCGGTGTTAATAATGGCTACAGCTTGCAAAAGTACGAGTATCATCTACGTATGACAACGATTTATCTCGGTCATGTGCATCGGGACAGTATCGATTGTCCCGTGATACTCGCGTGGGCGTATTTCATAGTTCGAATTCAATCGTATCGGACGAGGAAACTTTTAAGCCGACTCGAATAGCGAACATCTAGCTACGGATCCTTCGAATAACCAGCGACTAAGAGCGTTTCAAGCATTTCGTATTTCCAGAAAAGTAATATTATTACTGAATTAAATAAACCGAATAGATTGTTTTTTGTTGTTTCTTAATGAACGCTAGTTACTGTCGCAGGTAAATCTTCAGGAGTTTGGTGATTCGTTTACCTTTCGATGCCTTTGTTCCATAGCCCACACGGATATGACCAACCGACCACCGATTCGCAGTACTCGCGCGAGTTCTTTCAACGCGTGAACCCTCCTTTCGGTGGTGGCGAAGTGGTGGACCACAGCGATCGAAAGCACCGCGTCGAAGCTCTCATCTCGAAACGGTAGGGCTAGATTGTCGCAGATCAGCACCTGAAACAAACACGACAGTTTCTATCTGTTCGAATAATTCTCCAAGCTGAACAACGCGGTGAATTATCCAGCTAACTCGGAAAATAATTTCCCGCAGGAAACGCTCTGGATACAATTAAGTCTGGCAATTACGATCAAACCGAACAGGATACGGATGTAAGAGTTTCCTGCACGCGGGGCCACCACTCGACTCGCGTTTTCTTCAAAATGATATATTCACCTCATTTTCCTTCTCACGCGCGATATCCGTGAAACGCTTGCACCGGTCCACTCCCACTTTAAAGATGCTGTGATTAACGCTGAGGTACTTCCCGTTGCCACAACCTGGACAAAACCAACGCGAGCGTGAGGCAATCGTCTCGAAAGAAATACTTCGCTCGAAAAGTATCGTTAGACTGCGGATCTTTATGCAAATTCATATTTTTATAAAATGGGAACTTTGTAGATGATTGTCTCAACCCCTTAAATATAATAATTCGTATATTACTTTAAGTGTTTTTTATATTTTTGCATATTAAGTGCATTCTGTAGTTTCTTGAGAATTAAAATTCCCCCGTAAATGCATAAACATCCGCAGTCTAATCATTATCTTTACAGGATGAAACTAGTGTAATAGTCGTTGATAGTCAGGAGAAAGAAAGGGGGAAAACGTATCGTCAGTTCTTTTCATTTATTAATTTCGACGATAGGGACAAAGTATCTATTTGAAGCGATCGATGGCTAACTGGGAACTTAAGTTACTAGGGCACAGGTCCAATATTCGGTACGAATATCGTTGGAACAGAGAGTATCTATTCCAAGGAACTACAATGGAGATCGATAGAGTGCCCTTTGATGTATGCACGGCAAGTGTACCTACGATTGCTATAGGCCCACGGTTCAACAGCACCGTTGACGCATACAGTCGGTAAACAAAGTTTCTCCACTTAGGCGAACTTTATTTATTAGTTAGTCATCGACTGTTGCAATTTATTTCGTCAAAAAGCTCCCGAATCTACCATTCTTGAATCACACGATCGGATATTTTTCCAAGCAATCGTTAAACCTTCGTTTTTATTATTTTCTAAAAGCGTTCGCATCTTGTTACTTTCTAAGTTTCTAGCGCGGCCTTTTCCACAGAGTTGTGCGTGCATAGAAATTATTCATTTATACAAATTGATTCGTTCTCGGATTCACACCATGAAATGGTCCTGAAGAATTTTTTTTTTTAGTGTTTCGAAAGTCTCCGGTGGGGTATTATTATTCTCTCGCCAAGACGTATTATTTTAGCGATTGATTTCCAAAACTGTATCGACTCGGCGTTCTTGGGCGACTTGGAAGTTCTACACTCATGGAGAACGGATCCCACGGTATTTCAGAGGCGTGCATGGCGACGTGGGATCAGGTACACACACACACACACCTGGGTGATCGTGATATACATGGATTCCCGTCGATACATCCGCGCGGAGGTCAATTGATCATGTGAAAGCGCGAGTGACCGGGGTCTGAGAGGAGGAAAAACCGAGCAAACCACGGAATAAAGACACACGCGCCCATAAACGAACCTCCACGCGTTCCGAATGGGCGTGGCGAACAGCGTCCATCGAAATTTAAAACCGAAAATTTTATTATTTCGAAGGACTAAGGTGTGGTGTTGACGATGGACCTACCAATGTCGCAAACGAGGGCTGAGTTAGGTCTGGGTTAGGTCTGGATTAGTCTGGGTTAGGTCTGGATTAGGTCTGGCTTAGTCTGGGTTAGGTCTGGGTTAGGTCTGGATTAGTCTGAGTTAGGTCTGAGTTAGGTCTGGATTAGGTCTGGATTAGTCTGGGTTAGGTCTGGATTAGGTCTGGATTTGTCTGGGTTAGGTCTGGGTTAGGTCTGAGTTAGGTCTGGGTTAGGTCTGGATTAGGTCTGGCTTAGTCTGGGTTAGGTCTGGATTAGGTCTGGATTAGTCTGGGTTAGGTCTGGGTTAGGTCTGGATTAGTCTGAGTTAGGTCTGGATTAGGTCTAGATTAGTCTGAGTTAGGTCTGGATTAGGTCTGGATTAGTCTGGGTTAGGTCTGGATTAGGTCTGGATTAGTCTGGGTTAGGTCTGGGTTTGAGCCGAGGTTGGCCAGAGTCGCAATTTTATTATTTCTAGAGACTAAAAATGAGTGGTGTTGACGATGGACCTACCAATGTCGCAAACGAGGGCTCCAGGCTCCAATTCTTCGAGAAACTGGTAGATCCGTGGCCAGTGTCTACTCTGGACAGTTTTTTCGGCGCATTGCTCGTAAACTTCGTGGACGTAGGCTTGCTCCAAGGCCACCGACCGAGCAACTTGCTCTCCGTCGCTTTCAGACATCCCTCTCGCTAAGATGGTTTACCCCCTCATCCGCGATACTGCAACCAAAACGTCCTTCGTAAATACAAAGAAAAATTAATTATTCTGTTCGCTGAGAAATGATTAATGCAATTTTTTCGATGTAACTCGTGCATCGACAGCTACTTTTTGTAATTACAGATATCGCGGGCTCTTTCAAAGCAACCTTTTCAATTCGCCCCTGTTGCGTTTTCATTCCCTCATTGTTGCCATCGTTGAAACAGGCAGCGAATATTTCTTTGTCCCTTTGTTACCGCTCCACAGACAAAACTCGGAGAGCTCGACTTCGATCGCTCGAACGGAAAATTGGTCTTTAACTTTGACGGAGTTAAACATCGCGACTTCCTTTCAACAGCTCTTACGCACGAGGCCCTGATTAAAACGTGACTCTTTTTCCAATCATCGAGAACCGATGAGCAAAGGTCGAACGATCGAATATTATCTGAATACTTAATCACAACGCTTCGATCAACTCTCGATGACTCGGAGGAATAATTTCTTCGTTTAAATCTCAGAATGTCATTTTTATCATGATTTATGGGTGTCTTTGGTCTGAAACTGATCGATCGACCACTCGAACCTAATCTGCGAATCTGCATTTGGGGAACAACGGTCGATGTGGAATTAGATATACGAAGATAATCGTTTCCAAAAATCATCTTTCACTCAAAGTGATCGATGCTTTTAATCGAGTCTTGTTTTTCTACGAAGTTCTGATTTTTAAAATTGATAATAATAATAAATACAATAACGCAGAAATTTAAATCTTTTTCATCGTTCGTTAGGGGTATGTCTCCCAAAAAGTTTGTGACAATAATTGCTCTGTAGGATGAAAACGAGGTCGAATAAAAATTCCGGAGCAATTGTAAATTTTGTCAGAGTACCTACCGAGTACTCTGACAAATCGAGTTCTATTTCGAGCCGCTCGAAGAAAGCAGAATACTCGCGTAATCGCATATGCGATTGAATAACCAACGACCGATCGCGGGCCTCCCGCTGATGCCGTGATTCGCGTAATCGCACCAGTGATTTACGACCTCTTCGTCCACGATGAAAGGCGTCATTCCACGCTAGATCGGTCACTTTTACGATCCCATGTTTTGTTATTCTCTATTGCAACGCGTCAAAATGAAGAAGAGAAAAATAAACACATTATTCCCTGGCCTTCTTCAATGGCACATTGATATAAGTAATTCTAGAATATAAGATACATCGTCGAAGATTGTAACACGGTACTATAGTAATTAATAGACTGCGGATGTTTATGCATTTACAGAGGAATTTTAATTCTCAAGAAACTACAGAATGCACTTAATATGCAAAAATATAAGAAATACTTAAAGATACGAATTATTATATTTAAGGGTTGAGACAATCATCTACAAAGCTCCCATTTTATAAAAATATGAGTTTGCATAAAGATCCGCAGTCTAGTAATTAATATAAATGTTCGAAATTTAACTTAAAGTATAAATATAAATTTAAGTGGACGTTCGTGCATCTTCATTCTTCTCTTCTCTTCTCTCCATCGTTTTGGCGCTCGTTCTGCCTGGATCTTCTTCGTACGAATGTTCGAGATCCATCGATCGCGGCTCGTACGCGTCCACGAGGCGACGGTTACTTTTATTTGGCCATCCCGTCGATTGATATTCCGTAATCGGCCTCCGTGCAGGGATTCCGGTTCCGAGGGTACCGGTTTCATACTTTCTCGTCACTTTCTTTTATCGAACGGTCGCGCGTACCCATTGCTCGGCGTTCTCCTGCTCGAAAATTTGCAACGAGAATCGCGCTGTTTACTCGCAACCCTGACAACTTAATTCCCTGCTACACTCCTCGTTCAACACTTTCTTCCGTCTCCTTTTGCCCCGCGATTCTATGGCCATTAAAAGCCAATAAATCGGTCTTTATCGACGCGTATGTGAACTCGCTGAAAAACAGAAGATCTTGTTTTACATTTGTATAACGTACTTCTACGTAATCTCTTTATTTAAACGCGCCCTTGTTCCATATAAAAAAGAAACTAAATTTATTTTTCGCAACGAAGGGGTTAAAAATAACCGCGCTACTTCCGCCGGTACTGAAATAGCGTGTCGAATACTTCCGTGTTTGCGAGTGCTTCACGTTTCGCTGGAGGTCCACTCTCTGAGAGAACAACTATTTTTAGGCGGCTGTTCGTCGAGGCGTTTACCATCGTCTGAACAAAATCCGTCCCCAACTTTTATTCACCCTTCATAGTCGAAGGCCAAGATACTTCCTGCGTTTGCCGGAAGCGATAGCCCAGACCGTTTTACGATCGCCAGACTCTTCGTGGCGAAAATTACTGTTTCCAAACGACAGAAACATTTTCTGGTAAATCATTTGTTCTGAAAGTCTGCTGACAAGGTTTCCAGCATCTTCCGAAGAATGACAATTAAACTCGAACGACTCGTGTTCGGTTTCTCAATTTCGAAGACCCGTTTACGTGACTTCAACGCTCTATGGAAACGATTGTTCCGTAGAATTCGACTCATGGTTGGCGAACCTTTATAATCTCTCGTTAATCGACCAGCCTCGCTAATTGCGCCTCAACCCCCTCCCACGCGTCGTTCAAAGTCTCCGAATCATCAAGCTTCTGAGGGCTTAAGAAACAATTTCTCCAACGATCTTAGAATTTCTAAATATTCTACACCACAATACGCTTTGTTTGAAGTTTGAAACATTGAAATCCTCCAATCCGTTCAGGAGTTATGATTTTTTAAACATACGCATGAAACTTTGGAGAACCTTTTCTAACAAATTTTTTTCTCGAAAGTGTGCAGGAATTCGAAGGTATGTCTATTGACCAAAAATGATTGTAACTGATTCCTCGAACCAAAAATAATTGTTGTTTGATGGTTGGTCAATTTTTTGTGGGGCACGACGGTTCGAGATCTACAGGTAGCATTGTTTGACCTAATTAATCCCACGATCGTCCCTGGCCGGCCTACGTTATAATGGATCAGGTATCGACGACGAGTCTAACGGCGCCACGCAAGAGATTATCCTTCGGTAGACAGCTGCCGCGAGACGAGTTCGAAACAATGGCTTTCAGGACGGTCGTTGAAAAGAAAGGACAAACTACTATTCCGTAAACGCGAACCTCGCGGAATCAATATCGTAACTGGCGTCTCTGCACACTCTGGAGGAAATTCTGATTCGTAGTCCTAATCGGATTTGACCCTTCTAAGCGGTGATAGAAAACAAACTAATGTTTACGATTAACACTTTGACTGCCACGTGACCCACATGTGGGTGACAAGACTTTCCCGCTATGGAGTTAAAACAATTTATTCTGAAATTGAATTTGAAATGTTAAATAAATTTATGTGGGACGAAGTTTAACGTGGTTACGAAAATAAGTACAAATTTTAAGTTATGCAGTTTACAGTTGCTTAAAATCCAAGTTTTGGTCTCGTAAAAAATTGTACGGTTTTGATGTGGCAGTCAACGTGTTAGAGATGCATTCTACACTCTGCATTTTTTTTAACATTTAACGATGGAGAATTTAAGGCCAAGAAGATTATATCTACATATATCTATTGCAATTGTCTCGAACGTTTGTCTGTGGCTGAACCCGGTTTTATGGTATAAATAAAACAAAATCGCGAATAGCAGACCGCGATAAAGCGACGATCGGTTGAAAATCGACGAAGCTATCTGGAGCTTCTTGTTGACAGAGCGGACAAAAGGTGTGAAAACGAGATGTATATCAAGCGCGGGAGATTGGATTTTATCGAGCCCGACCAGAAACGTTCTACATACGTCAATCCGACGATCAATCATCGCTATTATTTGTCATCTGTCCCGTCGAGCGAGAAACGTTAGATCCAAGGATAATCGGAATACCACTCGAAACGAACAATCGCTCCAGTTCCACCGACTGACAACTTTTCTTTACCGTTTAAATAAAAGAAATTTTAATTTTCAATACTACCCCTCACCCCCGTTATCCCCTCGTACTCTACTCCTCGAGTTACTTGATTTTAGAAGAGAATTCATATAATTTTCGAAACATTTTACTAAGCTTAAACGTTGATATCTAGGAGACGATACTTGAAGTATAAAACTTCACGAAACCGTTCGTGAAGGGTTATAATCGCTGGTCTAAAGCCTCCACAGGTCTACAGTCTAACAAGAAGCTCTAGTTACTTGATTTTAGAACAGAATTTATATAATTTGTGAAACATTTGACTAGGCTTAAACGTTGATATCTAGGAGACGATACTTGAAGTATAAAAGTTCACAAAACCGTCCGTGAAGGGTTATAATCGCTGATTTAAAGCCTCCACACGTCTACAGTCTAACAAGAAGCTTTGGTTACTTGATTTTAGAACAGAATTTATATAATTTGTGAAACGTTTGACTAGGCTTAAACGTTGATATCTAGGAGACGATACTTGAAGTATAAAAGTTCACGAAACCGTCCGTGAAGGGTTATAATCGCTGGTTCAAAGCGTCTACAGGTCTACAGTCTAACAAAAAGCTATCGTCGGTGATCGACCACGGGGAACAATAACTATTTGCACTCGATTCTCGGTTCCTGGGATAGCACTCGTCTCGTAGAGTTCCTATTCAACCAGATATCGTAACATTCGAGGACCCTTGTTAGCCGACGAGGAAAGAGGTCCGTCGACACAAACAGGTCGAGTGGCCTCTTGCTCGACGAGAGAAGAACACTGCAAGACGTCCACTCGTCTCTCCACTCCGACCGGGAGAGCAAGGGCGCCGAAAAACCAACCCCAGAAGAATATCAGCGAAGGGGAATACGAATTAAGCCCCTGTTAAACAATAATCAACAGTACAGTATAATGAAACTCCTATCATGGCTCAACGACTACTTAAGAAACGAAATACAAATGGTAAAAATCCGTAAATATGAATCCTGCACTATAAACTCAAGAAGCTCGCATTTAAGTTCATTTTTATTCGTTTCCATTAATGACGCAAAAAAAAAAAAAATTACTGTATTTATAGGCGATCGACCATATACTTTTTATCCATA